GCGTCACTGAAATCCTTAATTTTCCAATCAATCATGTAGTCATGCTACACAAGTAAGCTTGGTGGCAGGATACGTGGTGCAACATCATTGGACAGTTAAAAAAAACCCCTTAGCCACATGGGCAACACCTGTCCTTGCTCCTATTTGCAATTCCTATTTGAGTATCATTATTCTTCTAAACTCTCATATTTTTTCCGTCGAAAATCAGGTTTTAACTGGTCATCTCTGAATTATTCTCAAGGAAATTAGAAAATTGATTCAGATCAATGGATGCTGCTTCTTGAACAAAAGGTTTTCTTATGATTTCTGAGTCTTCTATTTCATGACTAGAAAATGGAAGGATATACATATCATATGCATTAAATTTATCTCATCTCAATTTATATTACAAAATAAACTGCAAATTTCTTCTCATAAATAGCCTTTTAGTCTATCTACAATAAAATAGAATGTCGAACGTGTCATAAGAATATTGACACTCAATTTTTCAATATCCGAAATTCCAAACATATGACATATAAATAAATAAATAAATAATAATAAAAGGAGTTTGTGAGTGAGTGAGTATTTATAATCTCCTTCAACTCTATGTTTTAGTTGTAAAATTAATATATGTTCGATTAATATTGGAAACAAACATTTTGCAATTTTGAAATTGTAAATTGCAAGCAAAAATCTATATAATCATATTAGAAATTAAGTAGCGCGCAAATTGGGCCAGATTACAAAATAAATAATGGGAAAAAGTGTAGTATTGACATGAAAAAGACGTGCAAATTCCGTATAAAATTTCATGCATCACCTAAAACTTAGAGATGGAAAATCAATGTAAAGAACCAGATTCAACACCCCCACCCAAAAATACAAGAGCTCTGCTACACGTAGTTTGATAGATGAATGCATGGACACACATTCACATATCATTCTACCTGTAGAGATTCAAACGTGAGAGTAGAATAATTCAAAATACAATAATACTTCGCTTAATTGAAGTTTATCAACTTGCATTTTTATGAAAGCCAGTTGAGAAATAATGCACATTTCAATGCCGTTTTCAACATAATACGCTACAATTAATTGCTCGTCAAATCTTATACAGCATACGACATAAAGAATTTCATCAATGGATCCCAAAAAAAAAAAAAAAAAAAA